TCTGAAAAAATTTTACAAAGCGGTGAAATGGATCGAAGATCAAAATGAAAACTTTTTCTTTCTTCTTTCCTCTTTCCTCCTTCCCTTCTCCCTTCCATAGTAAGTTGGAGTTGGTGGGTGAGGATACATGAGTGATTGGAGTAAAATGGATTTTAATATGTATAAAAATTTATTTTAGTGCATACCATTGTAACGCCAGCATCGCAGTGTTGTATACTAAATTTAAAATTACTATATAATAGAGCCTTCAATATCGTGGTGGAAACTTTTGGCACTGTTGTGCTTACAAGCCAGTGCTGCCACATACACAAGCTCAACACCACAGCGCTCAGTTCAAACTAAAATTTAGATTTCCCATTTTAAATTTATTTAAAATTTTAGGTTGTTACAATTTACCCACCATAAAAAAATATCATCCTCAATATTTTCTATAAGAATTCATGCATAAAGACAGTATATAATAAATTCATTCAAAAAAAATCCATATCAAAATATAATTAAAGCGGATTGAAGGATTTACATCAACCTAGAAATAGCTTTCTTATATAGTCACGCATTTCATTCAATCACATGTCATTCACTTATGAATGCTATGTCAATCAATCATTCAAAATAAATTTCTTACCAGTCAAACTCTCTGGTTTTAGTCTGTCTTCCTAATACTGCAAGTTATGCACTCATGACATCACTAGAGTAGGTACTGTTGGTGCATTAGGACCCATGATAGCTCTATCATTGGCCCTATTCATAAATCTTTCATTATATTCTCTCAATCCTATAGTCTTTTGTCCTTAAGACTGCCTAGATTGTCCTGCTCCAAAATTAGTTCTTCCTTTCTGAAGATAATATGTATTAAGTGAAAATTATACTTATTTTTTATTGAGTTAAATTCCAATAAAAATATTTTTTTAGTTGATGTTGTGCAAGAATGTCTTAGAAAAAATGATGAAAATTTACAAAGTTAGAATTAACTATGCAACACCCCGAACATCAGTGTCAGTAAGCCTACAATGCCCATTGTCAAAACCATACATTATAGCACCACAGTCTCAAAAAAATTGAATTTAATTTAGAGCCTTGCTAGAATAAATGCCATCGCCACAATGCTATGAGCACCTCTACTCCATAAAAGGAACACTGCAGTGCTCTACACTGTCAAATTCATCAATAATTCAAACTTGAAGTGCCAACCTCTAAAGCACCACAACAATGAAAGATAAGAAAAGCAATATAGTGCCCAATCTTTTGCAATGTCAAAGTAGAGTAGTTATGAAAGAAAGCATAACACCAAATTGATCATGCATCATGCCTGGTTAGTCCAATGCTGCAACTAAGCTAATTTAGTAGTTCCAAGGTGCTAATTCATATTTTAACACCGTGGTGCCACCCTTTCGAGTGACGTGATGCATGAGTCTATTTATATAAAAATAAATAGTTATTATTGCGTTTTTTATGAGTCCATCCTAAAGTCCATAGAGCGATACTAGAGGATAATGAGATAAGTTTAGTGGAGTGGCTAGTCATCCTTATAGTGAGTAAAATAACACTTAAGAGTGGAAAGGAGTGTGGAAAGTGAAGTTGTAAGGAGGGTTCACTTATGGGAGACTCCATTTGCAGGATCTATTTAGGATTCTCCATTATGGGTGATATTTTCTTCATCTTTTCTATTTGTAACCTTTTTTAAGCAAGTAATGAAAAATGTTTTGCTCCAAATTATTTCTATAGCCCTAAACTTCTTATTTTGGGATGATGATATGAATAATCTATGTATATTCTAATATAGACTCTTGTACATAAAGGTTAATCACAATTCTCAATTTCTCTTATGCTTTATTTAATTTATGCAATGACTAGGAGATAACTGTCTGATCGTCTAGTACGAACTGATATCGTCCCGTACGATCAGTATAAATTTTATATGATCTCCTTATGTGTGTGTGTATGTTTTTATTCACTCAAATTACAATCACTACCTTTCAATTTGATTTTAAAGAAAAGTGCAAGCTTCAAATTTTACAAAGTATCTCATGCTGAATTTAATTTGAAGTCTTCATAGTCTGGAGTTTGTTTTTCCTGAAATGTTAGTACACACAAGAGCAAATACAATTCTTCTAAAAAATGTTAGGAGATAACTACACATTTGAACAATAATCTTTGGAATCATCAAAACTATATAAGTTGCAAAAATGGAAAGCATGCAAATAGCAACTATCTTAACAGTTCTTACATAACAAACAAACAAAATGCTTTCTTTAAATCATCATCTCTTCATGCAAATTCTTCTCATGATTTTTAGGATAATATTTAGCTCTCAACATTTCTATCATTTCTACCCAAGACAGAAATATTCTACATATTCTCTCCTCATTTGCTATAATATTATGTAAATAATTCTTTTCATGACCTATTCATTTCACTTTAATAAAAGTAGTTTTTTGATAGTCATCCATTTGGTGCCAATTCAAAAATTCTTCCATTTGGGTGAGCCAAACAAAATACCTATTTAGATCATGAACACCATCATAGTTTAAGGCCACTGTCTTAACCTTCTTTGTGGGTTCATCCAAATATTCATGATTCCTATAATGTTAATTTCTATAATGCTTTTATATAAAAATCTCTCCAAGGTAGATTGTCATTCCTAGGGTTTTTCACTACTTATATATGGTCATTTTCAGCTTGGTTTTACTCATGTGATTGGACTTGCATTCTAGTAACCAAGGGCTACGTTTGAGTATTTATATGAAAAATCTCTTCATTATTTAGAAAAACTACATTTCGCCAATTTGATAGGCTTTCCACTTGGCGTATGCCACTAGAGTTTGATGGCATTACATATGTAGTGTTGATTCAAAATGATGAAATTTAGGATAAACTTTTTTTAACTTTTTCATTAAAATATATATTGAATTAGCTAAATTGGGCTAGTTTGAACTAGATCAATTGGGCCAACTAAGTCAACCACTAGCTTGGGAAGCTAGGGTTGATGAGTTTAGTATATGAAGCTGCTATGATAAAAGTTTGGAAATGGTTTAAGATCGAAAGGCCAGTGTGATGCACAGTGCATTCCACTAGACAAGCTCAATGCCTTTTTTTTTTTTAAGCTCAATGCCTTTGCCATTTTGGGTTAGCCAAGGTAGGGATTAAGGTTTAGGCTTACTCTTGAAAGTGCAGAAGACAAACTAAGAGAGGTGAAATGGTTCTTCTAAATTTTTTTGGCATTTAAAAAAAAAATCTTTTAGTTAAAATACAAATCTTAAAATATGGAGAAGCGTTTAAATAAAAGAACTCAAAACAAAACCAAAAGCAAATATGAATTTCTTTTTATTCTTAAGATTTTGAAAAATATTTTTTTTTTCTTTTCTTTACAAGTTGTCAAAATAAAGATCAACCAAATCAATGGCAAAAATTCTCATTCACACATATAATCAAAATTAAACTAGAGTGTAGTAAAGTAAATTGCAAGTAAATAAAATTATAGGAAAAGTAGGAAAATGCAAACCAACATTTATAGTGCTTTGACCAAATTGACCAACATCCACTCCCCAAAGGTCCTCCTCTTTGGGTATTGTAATAATTAGTGATCCTCCTTCAACACAAAGTTAGGCGAAGAAGCTCTTATCCCTTACCACAAGTAGAGAATCACATTTACAAACAGTTCAAATCACGAAGAATCTCCCTCCACGTGCCACCTCGACCTACCAGAGATTTCATTCCTCATTTCGTGTATTAGCCCAACAAACATGATGTCCCTCCTTTTAGCTCATCCCCCCGGCGAAGATGTTAATCCTTCCATTTGCTTCCTAACCCAGCAGAGATGTTGAAAGCTCAGCCTCTTCAACTAGCTGGTCTTTGGCCCAAAGACTCTTCCCTAGAGCTCCAACATAACACAATTGAAGAATGCAAGGTGCAAGCTAACGGAGCAACCGTATGACTCCTGTCACACCCCTTAACTCCCTCAAGTCACTCTTCCTCTCTCAACCTCATCACTTACCTCTCCAAAGTGAATGCACTCTCTCCAAGCTCTCTCACATAAAGAAATTGTCACTAGACTACCAAAAGACTTATTCTCACAAGCCACGCAAGAGTTGACAAAATGGACGTCCAAAAATCTTAATTTTCAATTAAATTGGTTCTTATTGTACAGTACAATATGATTAGTTGAATCAAATAACATATCATCAAGAATGATACATGTTCATCCAAGAGAGGTCTTTATTCATCATCCTGTACAATTGATAATCGTATAGTATGATCTTAAATGAAGATTATATCTTATTATATTCATTAATCCTCATGATTAAATTAGGCAACTTAACTAAATATCATATAGTACGAACTAGTACATACATTACAATTAGTTCAAATTTCAAAATTCAAGTTTGCCTGATTTAAGTAATCAGGATTCCATGACAAGTTTCTAAAAATAGTTTATCATTATGTACGATATGATGGTCGTACAATGCGATTAGTTATACTCAAAATTTAATTAATCTCATTTAATTAAAAATTTTAATTAATTTCTATTTGAACATGCCGTACAGTGCGATCGTGATCGTATAATGAGATTTACAGAAAAATTAAACATTTAATTTTAAACCCCCTTGTTTAAGTGTTCACGATCACTAAGTCAACATACACCAAATACATAAATAGACTGAAGAAAAAGGAAAACATATACTCTGTAACATACAAACTGACATTTATGCTAATGCAACCATGCCTTAAGTTAATTCTTTAATCTTTGTTCAGTTTAAGAACTCTAAAGTCAAAGTGCTGCAATGAAGAACTTATCAAATCAATTAGGAAAGTTAGTCAATTCCCTAAATAATAGACAACAAAGAATCTTGTTTAGCAACAAAAATTAATTATGAAGAGAAGGGGAAGAAGCATTTCAAAGCCATTAAGTTTAGAAGTGGTAAAGAGTTAGAGGAAGTAGTAAGAAAATATGAACAAGCAAAGGAAACACCAAAAGATAAACAAGTAAATTCCAGCTTATCTTTAGAATAATCTAAACTTACTTAAAAAGATGTAAAGAGATCGCCAACAACATCCCCACAGAGACTACAGAAATAAATTTAAATAGACAATTCTCCAGATTTTCAGAGGGCTTAAAGAAATTGACAATCAAAGCCCTAACGCATTTATCTTTATTACGAAAACTCTTGCATATCTTTAAAAGAACAAAAAGCATGACATGTTGCACCAAAAAATTACCATTAAAAAGAGTCGAAATGTAAAAAACTGCTACTCCTCCAAAAGAAGGGTGGCGCATGATAAGAGGGATGAAACTTCTTCTGTTGTTGCGAAGCCAAAACCTTGCCACCTAATTCTTCCATGTCTATCAAGGAGAAATATATACCTGCAATTCAGTAAAATTTGCATGCTTCAGAAAACACTCTCTCCTCATGGGAGAAAAAAAAAGCTGGGTAAGAAAATAACATTACCCGGTGAGAAGATTTAGAATTTGAAGCTCCTTCCTTAAATCATAGTGGTCTCCAAAAGAATATGCAATTCTTCGCAGAGGATAACTAGAACTTCTCGCAATTTTGAGGAATAAGTTCTTCATTGGATTCAACGATAATAACCAAGACTCTATAAAGGACACCTAAAATAAAAATCAAAGAAAACTAACTATAGAATATCAGGAATTTCGTGCTGCTGCTGATACACCCCACCGCAGGTTCATTATAAGAAACAACATTCAGAGAAATGACAAACGCTTATGCAATTATTATTTCGTACAAATTTTAGAATTTTTTGCGGTAATTCAAATCTTTGAACCAAAAATCAAGTACAAGCTCAAGTGTTGTAGGGATAAAATTTTCAAATAGCCAAAATATCGAACAGAAAAACCCTAATCTAATTTAAATTTGAATTGCTCAGAAAAAGTAATATATCATTCTACAAATACTGCCAATGTAAATCATATGGTAAATTAGCATGAAGAAGTCTCTAACCACCCTTCCAAGTAATCATCACAAATTGTAATTCCCATCATCGTTAGGATCATCATATTAGTAGTCACATGAGAGTCCAAAATTAATTTGCAAAAGCCTATTTTGAAAATTTTTTGCTGATCTTATCTTGTTAACATTTTTCATACATGGCCATCTTCAGGGAAGAGGAGATATTAGGGCCTTGATTAAAGATAAAGAGATCAAAGAATATTTACATAGAAGAATTAATAGATATCGAAGGATGAAATTATTTTAGAAGAGCATAATGACTAGAATAAGAAACTATTTCACATAAAATAAAATAAAGTTGGATAGGAAAAATATACTCACAATAGTAAGGTTTAGGTCCACTATGAAGAGTAGCAAATTTTTTCATTAAATTTTTAAAATTAAAGAGAGATAAATGAATGGAAAAAATTATTTTGGTATAATATTTAAGAACAAAGGTAACATACAAAGATGTGTTAAATATAAACAAAGTAAACTTAATAGTTATACAATGAATTTATAGGAGCAAATAATAAAACATAGGCTTAAGAAAATTACATCAATTTAGAGAACTAATTTAGTTACATGCCAGGAAGATCAAACATGGAAATAATTTTTATGCAATATTAATAAATGAAAAATTATATAAATAAAAAGCATGACCATATATATTTTATTAATCTCAATAGAAGGCATGTGATCAAGGCCACGAGAACTTATTTAATATGCTTTGGGTAGAATATGTTCAAAGATATATTGATACTATTAAGGATAGGTATGATGAAGTATTGACTAGTATAAGAAATAATTTTGAAATGGCCTTACAATTTCAAGATATGTTAGGTGTCCATCAGGAATCAACATTGAATTTATATCATTTGTATTAGTTACGAGTATGTATACAATAGATATTCAAAATGTGGTGCCCAGCTTGTATATACAACTTTGCAAATGATATAGTTCTAATTGATGAGGCATTCAATGAAATCAATAAAAAATTAAAACAATGGGTAAAATATTTAAAATATGGAGACAATAGAATTAGTAGAATAATGATCGAGTATATAATATGTAATGGGTATAATGTTAACATTTATGATTAATTATTTTTAAAAGATAAGATGATATTTATATGTATAGAGATTTAAGTATCATTGATATGTTAAAGAGAAAAATATAGATATAGATGGGCGATACCTTTCAAAATTTAAGTTTAATAGCTAAGACGGAGTAGTGTCGCAAGAGTTTTGAGAGGGAGTAGCATGGAGAATTAAACATAAATTTTATGAAAATGCACTTAGGTTGGCATTGTTGTTTTGATTAAAATATTGAGTTGTAAAGACAACATTCCTATCTAAGCTGATTGTGCCAGAAATGTAAATGTTAAAATGGATGTAGGAGAAAACTATGAAGGATAAATTTAAAAAAAAAAATTATATTAGAGAAAAGGATGAGAGTAACATCTATTAAAGATAAAATGATCAAGAATATATTTGTGAGTGATCGATACATGAAACCAAGGGTAAAAAATGTGCCAACAAGACAAAGTTGATAAAATTAATACTAGAGGATTAGCAAAAACAAATGGTACTCAATTATATGGATGAAGTTGTTGAAAATGAATGGTGAAGGATATGTTTAACATCTCATAAATCACTCAACAATAAGAAAATATAAATGAAGATTTGAAATGCCAACCCTAAATAGTTGGGATAAGGCCAATAATGATGATAATCTAATCACTCTTCTTCTCCTACCTACTCATATTTTTATGCAACTTTTTGATGACTCAATTGTTGTTAACCCTAGCATTCTGTATCAACTATGAGTTATCACTAGATCTACACAAGTGCACGTGTCGCATAAAAAATGAAGTATCACTCTCACGAGGATGAGGATAACCTCTAGATCACTCTAATGCTGCTCCTTAGAATTGCTTAATTCATATTATCATTAAAATCAAATAGTGAGCTAATGAAAGATATCAGCTAAGTTTTTTTAGAAAAAACTCTATGTTTAAGGGATTATGAACCTATAATAGTTAAAAACTCATGAATGTAAAAGATAGGTCTCTTATTATGTTGTTGTGAAACAGAGCATAAATATCTCTCGTCATTTTCAATCTCATTGGAGTGTTTGGCTAAATTTGCACTTAACTACAGTGATTATATCTCCTTATGATCCCAAACCTCTAGCCACCATATGTCTATGCATGGAAGAATTCAACTTTGAATCACCTCATTATTCCACCACTCTGTTGAGGATGCAGATCACACTAAATTTTAAATTCATGCAAGGCCTTTACACAAACTAAATTAAGTATGAAGGATTTAAAAACAATAGAGCATTGATGCGTATAACAAAGAACTATTCTTTTGCAAACATGACTTCTAACACATCATAAGTGAAGGGAAATGATTTTAGCCAGCCATGAAAATTAAGATAAGCAAGACACAATTCATTGCAATAATAAATAAAAGTGCAAGATGAAAGAAAAAGATAGATATGACCATGAAGTTCTTAACAACATGAATACATACTCTCCTAGACTCTAAATTTGACTTCCATAAAATGCACTCACTCTCTCCCTCCCTCAAGATCACTCCCAAGACTGATTGCAAATGAACAAATGGCCTCAACCCCCACCCCCCCTCCCTTACTCCCAAAAAAAATTTCAGCAAAATTATTTATATCTAACACGCATAATTGATTTTGGTGTCACTGCTCCGCTAGTGGTGGTGTTGTGGCATTATTGAATTAAACTAATGTTGAGGTATTCATAGAGTCCACCGCTATGGCGCTCTAACTGAATTGATGTGTCTTTTCACTATAATAACCGAATAAATTGTTGCAGCATGATGCTCAAGCGATTTGGCGCTTCGGTACTTTCCTCCGTTACAAGGCCTTGCTCTCTAACTTTTAGTCAAATTTAGGGTTAAATGTCACGGTGCTCCAAAGTCCGGCATTGAGCTTTTTTCTTCAATTTTGTAGTAAGTAAATTCTCCTGCACAAAATTATGAAGTGAGGTCTTTTCATAGTAAAATAGGGACTCAGAGCTATGACGCCTGAGATGATTTTTCCATACATGTTCAAAAACAAGGCAAAGTTTACAACATATTTGACATCATCAATAGAGCACAAATCATACATAACCAAACCAGCTTCAAATCACAAATATAAACATCATTCACACATCATTTCATCACATTCAAGCAAACAAATTCTAATTCATACCTATGTATAGCAACCATGAATCAACATGCAAATATCACATATGACCTAAGCACACTCTAATCACACTCTTAATTAAGATGCACATATCATACAAACACAATACAAATATGGGTTACCTCATAATGAGCACTAAGTTTATGATCTTCAGCCAGACTATGTGGATGAGCCAACTCCGCCGAGATCCTAAGGCAATCTTTGTGCCCTCTTAAGGTTTTAATCTTTTGGCCATTGACATTGAATATTTAGTTGGCCTTTTTATACCTAATGTTTATAGCTCCATAAAGATACATTTTAGCAACAGTGAATGGTCCTGACGACCTGGACTTTTAAATTTCCATAAAATAATTCATTCTTGAATTATACAAAAGCACTTCCTGTCCATGTTCAAATTCTTTCCTAAAGAGCTTACGATCATGCCACTATTTAATTTGCTCTTTATGCAACTTGACATTTTCATAAGTAACATTTCTAAATTTCTCCAACTCATTTAATTGTATCAACCTTTTATCCTCAACATCCTTAAGATCATAGTTTAATTCTTTTACTGCCCAATAGGCCTTATGTTCTAACTCTAAGGGTAAGTGATATATTTTTTTCAAAGATCAACATGCAGGGAGATATTTCAATTGGGATCTTCAATGCAGTCCTATAAGCATGAAGTACATCATCCATCTCAAACCACGATCCCTTATATTTTAACTTATAGCCTTCTTTAAATCCTCTATATCTCCCTATTACTTTTTTCAGTTTGACCACTAATTTGGGATGATAAGCAGTTGTAATTCTATATTTTGACTCTATATTTCAAATTTAAAGTCTCCACTCTCCTATTGCATAATTGGCTCCCCTCATCACTAACAATTATCATAGGTACTACAAATCTAGAAAAAATATTTTTCTTTAAAAAATGTATCACATCCTATGAATTATTTTTAGGTGTTGTTACTCCTTCAATCTATTTGGAGATATAGTTAACTGCTATCAAAATATATTTATTACCAAAAGATTCAACAAAAGGACCCATGAAATCTAGTTCCCAAACATCAAAGTTCTTCCAACATAAAAATCAATGGCATTTAATTTCTCCTTGAAATATTACATGCCATTTAACACCTATCATACCTCCTAATATAAAAATTTACATTGTTAAATAAGGTAGGCCAATAGATTCCAAATTGTTGGATCTTAGAAGCAATTTTAAATTCTCAAAAATGCCCTTCTTATTCTAAAGCATGACACTGCCTAATGATGGGTTTAATCTCTTTTTCTAGGACACATTTACTAATGATTTGATCTTTATATTTTTTAAACAAATATGGCCCATCTCAAAAAAATAATTTGGCATCATGCATAAAATTGCGCCTTTTCGTGTATGACATATCAAATGGGATCACTCCACTCATAATGTAGTTCACAATGTCAGCACACCAAGACACACAATGAATGCAATACAAGCAAATGTTCATCTAGAAAATATTCATTTATCTCACACTTACTATATGAAAATTTTTTCAATTATAGTCTAAACAAATGATCAGCTACATGATTCTTTGTTTCTTTATTGCCTTAAATTTACACATCAAATTCTTGTAACAAGAGAATTCACCTCACCAATCTAAGATTGACATTATTCTTTGTCACTAGATTATTGATGGCAGAATGGTCCGCATACACAATAATTTTGGTGTCAATCAATTAAGGCCTAAACATATCAAACGAAAAGACTATATCTAACAATTCTTTTTCTATGGTGGTATAATTAACTTAAACTGCATTCAAAGTCTTGCTAACATAGTATATAAAATGTAATTGTCTATCTATTCTTTACCCTAAAACAGCTTCTACAATATAATCACTAACATCACATAATATTTTAAAAATGCAATGTCCAATTATGTACAACAATAACAAGTGCAATATTTAAATATGGTTTTAAAATATTTAAATTATTAAGACATTCATCATTAAATTCAAAAGGAACATCTTTTTCAAAAAAATGATATAAAGGCTTAGTTATTTTTGCAAAATTCCTAATAAATTTTTGGTAGTATCCAACATTTTTTAAAAAAGGTTCTAATTCCCTTAACAGGAGTGAGAAATAGCAGATTTTCTATTACTTGAACTTTGGCCTATCCACTTATAAACCTCTCTGAAATTTTATGTCATAGCACTATGCTTTTTGCAATCATGAATTGATATTTCTCCTAATTTAATAACAAATTTGATCCTTCACATCTTTTTACAATAACTGATAAATACTCTAGACAAATCAAAAGAGGTATCAAAAAGACAGAAGTCATTCATGAAGATCTCAATGCTCTACTGAATTAAATCTAAAAAACTGATATCATATACTTCTGAAAAGTAACAGGGCATTACATAATCCAAAAGGCATCCTCCTAAAGGCAAATATTAAATAATTATCTGTATTTATTTTACACTCATCCAAATTGCTCAAAACATTTTAAATATATTGCATTTTTTACACTATATTTCATTTTACTCTGCATTCCTTTTCTAGGAAAGACAGTGACCACTCAATAATTTATTTTTCTACTATCATTACCTAAAATAATTATATCATCAGCATACACAATTAAAATTAATTTTTTTTATAGTGAAACATTTTATAAAGAGTGAAAGACCTCTTTAGCTTAATTTATATCCAACTCTATATAGTACTTTTATAAATCTACCAAACCTTAAGCTTAGGGATTATTTAAGACCATATAATGCCATTTTTTATCTACACACCTAATTTTCTATGAAAGAAATTTTGTATTCTAATGAAAGATCCATATAAACTTCTTTAATATCCACATGTAATCAAGGATTCTTAATATTATATAATTGTATAGACCATCCAAGCTTAGTAGCAAAAAAAAATTAAGATGCGAATTATATTCAGTTAGGCAACAAGAGTAATGATTTCTTGGTAGTCTACTCCATAGAATGGAAATTTTCCTTTAACTACTAACATTGTTTTCTAGCATTCCAGGCTTCCATCCTTTATATTTTAATAAGAAAATTTATTTGCTTCTTATACCTTTTTTTATAGCCCAATGATCTCCCAAATGTAATTTATTTATATGGGATTCATTTGTTTTTTATTTCCTCTTTTTAATTCTTATTTTCTAATGACTCAAATAGGAATTGTGGAATTTGATTGGTGCTAGAGATAATGCCCGTAAAGAAGATTTTGTGTTTAAGAAAAATTTTAAAAGGATGTATATTGAGTTATGGGGTAAAGAGGAGAATATATGATAATGAGTTGATCATTATTATTAGAATAACATGATAAAAGCTTTGAGTCTTAAGCTTGATGGATACTTTGGATAAGCTTTAACCTCCTTCTAAACACTTCACGGGGATTAGAGATAAGAGTAATGCAATGTTCTTGCATTTATATAATTAAGAGGAAAATATTAAGTTTATCTATTTTTTTCAGCCAGAAGTTTGTTCCTCCCCTAAAGATAAATTTGACTGAACAGACTTTATTTTTCATCAAAAGTGCATCTTCAAAATGAAGAATTTTTTTCAAGTCCGATGATAACATTTATACCCTTCTTAAGTAGATGAATATCCTAAAAGACACATTTAATGTTTCAGAATCGAGATTACCACAGTATTATTTCTAAATCTTCTATTTCAATTTTATGATAGTTTATTTGAATGCACAAAGGTTAAAATTAATGTATAAATATATGAAAAGAGTGTTATGATATTATATATAAGATTTTTAGAAGGATGATAGACAACTTGAAGAATTCATCACAAAAAAATAGAATGTTTGGCATTAGTGATACCCAATTGAAAGTTAGTGGAATTTCATCAAAATCCGCCAAACAGAAACGAGAACAAACGTCAAATACATCTAAAGGTCGCTAAAGCATATTTACTATGACCATTTGTTATTTAATATTTCCTTAGTAAGAGTGTACTTACAAAGTTATTATAATAATATTGACAATTGAGGAAAGAAAGTAGAAAGCGATAGCATTGGATGAGGAAGAAGAATGGGATGACTCACATGTATGATAAGGACAATAAAGCTATTAGATAACACGATGATTCTTTAAATGATACTACTAGCGATGATGAAAATAATGATATTGATTTTAATGACATAAAAGACTTTAGAATCTACTTCTATCCTAGGTTATTACCTTTTATGTTTTCTATGCTAGAAACTTCTATTCAATTTTTCTATGTTTTAGTACTTTCTTATAATGTGTCTTTTATAAAAAAAAAAAAGTTTTTAATGAATTTTGCGTGTTTTTAATTTTTATAATTTTTTTACTTGTGTTTTTAATTTGAAGGCTGCACATCAATTCAAATCGAAACTTTATTTTCAATTAAATTGAGAAAATCACCTCAATTCCCAATATAGTTTTTAAAACCATGGAAAATGTATGGTCCATCATGGTATTTAATGCTCACGGAGTTTGCTCATAGTGAACACTTTGGGCCCTTCAAACCTGGAGGAGGATCAACAAATTTGTTGATTTTTTTCCTTCACTTTCAAAAAGGTCTTCACAATCTTAGACGGCTTTGGGTAGTTTCTTCCATTCAAACAACATGAGATGTATAGCCCCTAAAATTTTCTTTTGATAAATATAATCTTATTTTCACCAATCACAATGGTCAAATTTTTGGAGGGAAGTTAAAAAAAGCAAACATGTAAAGCAAAATATGAATAAAATATAGAAAAATTAAAGTTAGAAAGACGACTCTAACTTTGCTAGAGTCCCACAAATCTTGAGTAAATGTGTGTATGTATACAAATAAATAAATATATGTGTGAATGTATGTGTGTGCATGCTACTAGAAATATTTTTATGGTATTAAATGATGATAATTATTTTATAATTATCTGTTCAATATAATCATATAAATATATATATATATATATATATATATATATAGCGTTGACTCTCTTACAACTTTTAGTTGCACCTGAATGTCAATTTTTTTTCGTGGCCATGTAGATGAATTTTCCATCTTTTTCTCTTAACCTGAATTGCAAAACATAGGGACTCTTTTATGGATATTCGTGACATTTCAGATTCATCAGCATGGTCTACTTTTAGAAACAGATGATGGTTGAGTAATTCTTATTGAGAGCATATCTTTAACTAAAATAATTTGATGCTTTGTTCACTGCCAGCTGTATTCATTTGAATTTCATTGGTAATTAAAAGTAATAATAGTCTGCAAAACTATAAGAACAATCTACATCTGCAAAGAACCAAACACTTTTGCAAGCACCTCATAAACCTGTACGTTGGTTGAAGCATCCAAGGTTTCTAGGAAAGGCGCACTCCATGATTCAGCCATCCTCTGTTAAAAAAAAAAAGGAATAAATTCAGGATACATACTTTTGGGGATTCTCAGTGCTTTAAGATATAAAAAAAGCCAGTTGACAAATGATCATCAATTTAAATTTTCCCACTTTTAAAATGGGCATTTCCTTTAGTTTAAAATTGTTTGTTTTACCATTCCCTCACCCTGTTTTCATAAATATGATATAGCTTTATACTCAACTAAAACTTATACAGCTATATTTTTAATGGAGCTAGTCATCTTATACAGCATTAATTTCAATTATAAAATTCAAACTCATCTCTCTAATAAACATATAATAGAAATTTAACAACAAAACATATTTCAAATTATAACATCTTAAGTAAGATAATTATTTCTTTTGATCACTTTTTTATGCATTTAGAATATTTGCAAGAAGATTCTTCTTTTACTCTATTAGAGGATAAATATTATTGGTATAAAGCTCAACTTTTAAAAGTAACTAAGTGCCTTCTCATTTTCTCAAGCGTGTGTTCATTATTGCATGGTCATATGCGACCACATATTAAAACATAACGTTATCCATCAAATCTTCTCTTCTCCATCCCACCAAAAATCCTCCTATAGTGCATTCTCCAAGATCCTATCTGTCTATATAAACTCAGATATGAGGTCATCTGAGAGGTCGAATGATATGAAGTATTGTATCAGTACTCTACCGATGCTAACCACTTGGCCCACAGTTGAGGTGTCTCCGACACGTAGCATGAAGTGTTGTAACAACTCTAAAACCTTCCTCAAGTGCTCTCAATGCTCCCCATGTGACCTGCTATAAACTAGAATATCATCAAAAAATAACAGCACAAATCGCCTGAGATAGGGTCGAAAATCCTTGTTCATGAGGGACTGGGAAATGGTGGGGTATTAGTGAGGCCAAAAGGCATCACTAGAAATTCATAGTCCCTCATGAATTCTAAAAGCAGTCTTAGGAGCATCATCCCTTTTCATTCTGATCTAATGGTTCCCTGACTTCATATCTATCTTGGTGAAAATAACTACCCACTCAGCTCATCCATTAACTCATCTATCACTGGGATAGGAAACTTGTCTGGCACAGTTTCCTTATTCACCGCCCTGTAGTCCATGTAGAACCTCCAACTCCCATCTTTTTTCTTAACCAGTAACACTAGGCTAGCAAAACGATTCACATTGAGCCTGATAATCTCTGCTTCCAGCATCTCTCTGATCAACGTCTCAATTTCATCCTTCTGAAATTGAGGATAGCGATAGGGCCTAAAATTGATGGGTGACACACCTTCCCTCAAGGTGATAACGTGCTCTTGTTCCCTTAGCGGTAAAAATCCCTGGGATGGCTAAAAAACCTCACTGAACTACTGAATCAATGGCTATACTAAAAGAGGAATGTCCCCACCCTCCTCCAATATGATCCCTCTAGCCTACGTAGTTCTACCAAATAACCTTTCCACACCTCCTATATGCTCCTCACCATGATTTTAAGTGATACCATGGCTTTGGAGAGCTCTGCATCTCCCCTGATCACTACCCTTTTCCCTACCATCATTAGCTCCATCATCAATGCTCCCTAGTTGACCATGGTGTCCCCCAAGGTCTGCAGCCACTTCACCCCCAAGATGATGTCAGTTTTCCCCAACTCTAATGGGAGAAAATCCTCCCTCACCTGAACCCCTGTATGGTAAACACTACCCCCTAACATATCCCCTAGTTCGTCTCCACCTTTCTTGTACCCATCATCACTCCATAATACCCTATATCCACCAATGTCACCCCCTAATTGGTCCACGACCTGATTGTAGATGAAATTGTGGGTAGCCCCACTACCAATTAACACCACCACCTCTCTGTCTGTTATTTTTCCCTTCACCTTCATGGTATGACTCAGAGTAAATCCTACCATTGAGTTCAGAGAGACCTCTACCACATCAAGATGCAGCTTGTCCTCCACCTCTCTCCCTGTCTCACTCCCACATCCCTCGATTTTTTTGTCATCACAAACGGTGAGAACCCGAAGAGTCCGGTCTCTGCATCTGTGCCCTGGAGTATATTTCTCATCACATCTGAAGCATAGTCCATTCGTCCTCTTCTCTTGCATCTCCCTCTCTATCTTACTTTTGAATTTCTCCCCACTTCCTCCTTTTGGCTTTTTCCTTGGAGTCTCCCAAATGTTGCCTGATGCATGCCCCTTAGATGATAAGAGAGTGGTAGTCATCCTATAAGAGCCTCCTGAATTGTTGCCTCTAGCTCCCTCTCCTGGTACTTCTGATCCTCAACCAGTTGTGTCAGCTCCATAGACTCTCCCAAGTGACGAGGCCTCATGACCCTCACTACTACCCTAATCTCTGATTTGAGTTCATTCATGAAATTTCCCTACATAATAGTCTACGATAGTCGATCCAATCGACTCGCAAGGTGCTCAAATCTCTCGTGATAATCTTCCACTGAGCCTTCATGTACTAGTGCAAAGAACTTCTCATACAAGTCCGCTCCCATGCCGGTTCGGATACATTCCAATAAGCATTCCTTGAACTCCCTCCAACTCCTTATAGGCCTCCTCATATCTATCCATTGATACCAAGCCAACACCTTCCCTTTCAAACATAAGCAAGATGCCGTCAATTTCTCCACTTCCGTCAACCAATTAACGCCGAAGTACCTCTCTACCTTATAAGTCCGTCCATGTGCATCCTCTCCTTCAAAAATGGGACTCTTCAGCTCCCGGACCTTCGGATCTCCACCATTTTCCATGATTCCTCCACAATCTCCCCTTCCCCAAGTATTTGGTCCTCCCCAAGTGTCTTGATCCTCCCTTCCATGCTTATACTCATACCCATCTTCACTTTCTCCCCTCCTTACTTCGAAATCAGCACCCCTTCTATCATAATCCCCCTCATTTCTTTCACATGAGTGTTCAATATTTTTGTAAATTTTGATATTTAAGGAGCCTTGATAATATCTTATAAATAAAATTTTTTGACTGCCATTAATGACACATTCAATGATTTATTATGCATCATAATTAATAACACTCATGTGAATATGCATATAAATATATGTCTAAATGGTGATGCATGTTTTCACATACAGGTAAGACTAGAAATCATGATAATGATAATAAGGTGATAATTGTGGTTTCATTATACCCATAATATTTTATAAAGGGATCATTACAAAAGTCATACCATTAGAAATCAACACAATTTATTGATCCCAACACTACAAAAAAAGTATGAAACTTGGTTTACAATCATGGCAGAGCGACCTACAAATATAAAAGTCTATGAAAGAAAAAGAAGAAAATAAATTCATTCAACATAAGTAATGCGATCTGCAAAGGACAGCAGCACCTCTTCAGCCAAAGGTGCCCAAACAACATGGTTTAGGCCATTAGGTCTACATGCATGGTTCATCTAGCAAGCACTAATATATATATATATTTTTTTAATCCTATTTTAATATGTTGTTTCATATATCAGTTATTTACTGTACAAACAGTATAGCAAAATTAGTTTAAATACCCTTTTGTTGTAAGGAATTGCTTATGGAATGAATAATTTATGATTTTTTTTCTCCTCTTCTTCTTTTGGAGCCTACACCTACTCTAAATGTGTCCTTCCTTCTTGGATGCCAAGAAGCTTATCAAATGGTGATTTCATTGCACTAATCGCAAGCCACGGCAAGCATTTCTTCAACATGTAGTTCTCTACTTCGGCCACAAGCAGCAGCTCCATGACCCTCTTCACCTTCTTTTGTCAAACAAGCGGCCTACCTGCAGTTCACCCTTCAGTTTTCAGCCCCTGCAGATTGTTCCCTTCAGCCCAACAATTCCAGCCGCAGCTTTTCTTCAGCCAACCTACTTTATTCCTTCAAGAACTGCAGTTGGAAAAGCTTCAGCCCTTCTGATTCAAACCTCATCACCAGCTGCCCCTACACCCACACAAAAAACCAATTGCAGCCTCCCAAAAAGCAGCAGATTTGGCTAACAATGCCCTCCACGACAACTATTTGCAATTTTCCGTTTCTTCCGTTTCAAGATTGCATCAAGTTCTCCGCTTGTTTTTCCCGATAATTTCTCTTTTCTTAAAAACATCTTCTACTAGTTCATTTTCTCTTTTGTTCCAGGTACTGATTCTTATTATCAAGAATCTCATATTTGCAATTTCCATCATCCACAAATATCAAAGCAACATGAAGAACGCAGCTTGGTGGAAGCTCTATGTTCAACACAAAATAATTAAAAATTACAATTTGGCGAAATCCAAAAATCCCTCCAACAAGCTGATGTTCAATTTGCTTCCATTGGCACATCCTTAGAATAATCTCATGCTTTCATGAACTCACTGGACAAGCGTCTTAACAATTTGTGCACAGGATGACCGCATCCTTTTCTTCATCAAGAAACTTCTTCGTTTGCCATTTTCTTGGTTCCGTCGGTTAAATTCCTTCTCAACTACCCTTACCATCCCCTGCAGATTTTGTTTTCCTTAAATCAATGAAAATTGAACTTCCATACTTTAATGGATCCAACATTGAAACATGGATCTTTAAAACACAGAATACTTTAATTTGCATAACACTCCTGCTTGTCGTCGAATTAGAATCGCTTCAACTTGGAACGAAAGGTTACATACGAAAAGGCAATTTCTTTCTTGGTCTAATATATGTTATCTTTGGAACAACATTTTGGCATATTAACATACATTTCAAAACTAACTCAACAAAATTCAATTCTGGAATACCAAATTGCTTTGAAAAATCTTGCTTTAAGGGTCCTGAATTTATCTGAATCTACAGTCATTAGATAATTCATTTTTTGACTTAAACAAGAACTACATCGTGAACTTTTAGTTGCACGACCTACTTGCCTTTTGGAAGCAATGGAATTAGCCAGGCGTCATGAATCTAAAATCCAAGATTTCTTCTCTACAGCATCATCCACTTGGCACAATTCATTCCTCCCACCAACAATAAACAAACATTGAAGTGATGCAGTCTGTCAT